TTGTGCATGTTTTGGATGGCGATTCATCGCGATGCATTTGTTCGGCTTTTACTCTTTGATTGTGTAGCGTTGCTTGGTGCAGGACATTAGCTAGATGCGTGCATAGCTTGAGATTTATTTTTGCATTATAATATTGGATGATTGTATTGGATATTGTATCTAACTTAATTTGTTGTTGATGCTAGCTCACTAGAAGAACATCGAGTTTCTTGGCCTGTATTTGCTATATAACAGACTCTTATCTGTTTGGTACAATTCCTGCTTATTTTTTCCGCATTTATTTACTGCTTTTCTGATGCCGTGAGAAGTAGGACTAGAGATGTATGTTCTGGAAGTCCTTGTGTTAGACAGGCAATGCTGTTTTAAAATACCTTTATAAGGAAATTCCTATGTGCGCTTGTTTGTTTACATTTGTGCCAAAGACCTCGATGAAGGAGTCTCACTCTCATCCCCCATTAATAAGTCCTCAAAAGGAGGCATAAGGCGACAGAGGATCCACAATCGACCCTGCCATTTCTAATTAGTTTCGTTCGTAGCTTGTGTTGTGCATTGATGGGATGAACTGTGCTGCTCATGTTATCAAGTCGTTCAGATGGAAAAGGGATTCGTAATTAATCCCCTACACTTTTTCTTTAGCTCGCATTTGTGAAACATTGACGCTTTGATGTGATCTCATTATTGTCTTTTATCTCCTACCTCGACTTTTGATATCTTGGTCAGGTGCTTAGTCGCTTATGACGATTCACTCCCGTTCTTCTCTTTCCTCAATCATTTGATATCTTGGTTAAGAGTTGACACCCTTTTCTTTCTTGCCCAGATGTTTTGATATCGCAATTAAGAACCATTATTCCCCCATTTCACTTGTCTCGATGATTCGATGTCTTGGCTAAGCATCCCTTTATCCTACCTTGATGATTTGATATCATGGTTAGGTACACTCACTTCCTTTATCTTACCTCGATGATACGATATCATGGTTAGGTATCCCTCTCCTTGTCCTATCTTGGTTCCATGCTACCTCGATTAGGTGTGTGCTACTTAAGTGAATAAATACTCCTCAAGCTTTGTTTGAATGTTTTGGTTTCGAATTTATGTGATCGTACTTATGTGTGTATGTTTCTTTAGGTTTTGAACCTTTGTCATGCTCTCTTAAGATTCGCTTGTTTCATTTCTGATGCAAGTTAGACATAAAGATTGTAATTCATGCATGTTAACATATGTAGAGACTTCCCTTTGTTATCCAAACTTTAGGACCATCATTGTATGATAACACTAGGGATAGAAATAGGTTGGTCCCCTTTATACTTTTTCTTCTCCCCTTTTGCATAACAAAAACTAAAACTCTTTTTCTTTGGCAGATTCATAAAAATGCTTTAACCATACTTAAATCTTTTCTCAATAAAAAAGGTACTAACTAATCTAAACTTTTTTGCCTTCGGCCCTCTTTTCTTGGAAAACCTTTTTCATATAAGAACATGTTAATTCTTTTCTGCCATAATGCGTGAGTCTCCAAAGGTCGAGTTGCGGTAGAATGCGAAATTGGAATTGTTCATGAAAAAACATACAACACATTAAAATTTTTGAGATTAACTACGAGTGTCTTGATCTCTCATTGCACGAAGAGGGTACGTAGGCAAAAAGGTTCCCAACTGCGGCATACACAATTAATAAAACCTTTTTCTTTGTATATACACTTTGCATACATGCATCTTTTTTCCTTATCTTGATTAGTGTTTAGATAAAAACACCCTTTAGATTAGAACAACAAGAGTGGATCCCGTGGAGTACCACAGACGTGAGGGGTGCTAATATCTTCCCCTTGCATAATTGAATCTCATACCCGATCTCTCGGTCGTAAGATCGTGAATTCTCCCTTCTCATGTTTTTCTTTGATGATTTTTCTTTCCCTTCCTGTGGGATAAATAAATACTCGATGGCGACTTTATTGATTCACCCTCGATGATTTTCATCCAGTTTCTTCACCTATTAGGCCTGGATGCTTGCAAACATAACCTTCATGGAAGAATCGTATGGCTAAAAGGTTTTTTCCCCCTCAACATTGTAGAACTACGAGCAAAACTTGAATCCATGTGGAAATCAATTAGAAACGAGGAATAACATTGTTGGGAAATGGTTTTTGAGTTTTCATTCTCCACCCTAGAAGATGTGCGAAGAATTAAACTTGTTAGTTCATGGAATCTAAACCTTGGCATCCTGAAGCTCTTCTCTCTGACCAGAAATCTCATCCCAACCAATGTCCACAATAACTCCTCCCAGGTGTGGGTTTGTATTCATGGTTGTCACTTGATTATTCGAGACCTAATATCATTTCATGATTGCTAGAAGCCTAGGAACTCATATATGTATTGAATTTACCTCAAATAAACCTCTTTTTGATTGTGCCTTTGGCCACTTTTTAAGGGTTATTGGTGGAAAGAGTTGGATATGCCTTCTTTGTAGAAATAGAATATGTGCCTGTGGTCTCCAAGAAGCAAACCCCAGAGGGCGATGATGTGTAGAAGTTAGACTGTCAAATGGGAAAGGAAAATATAGGAGAAACTAGTTGAACATTCAAGGAAACCTCTCTTGATCATAATGAGGATGATGACCCCTCACCTCACTCTAGAGACAAGGACCATGTGGAAACACAAAACCAACTGCTCGGGATTGAAAACACAACAGAAATGCTGGAAGATACTAGCTCAGAAGAATCTAAGTTTATGGATGCAACTCAAAATAAGGAAGAAGAAGAAGAAGAATAAGAAGTTATACAAGATTCTAAAAAAAGAATGAGAGATTCTTGAGAAAATCATGGGAAAACAATATTGAAATTGATGAGAAGAACCTCTCTGATGAAGAGGTGCACCATAAGACTGATTTTTTAGACTTCTAATTCGCAATGTCTAAATCACAAAAGTAAAAAGCAAGACAGAAAAAGTCAAAAAATATTTATTCTACCCGATATAAATATGGTAACCTAAGGACTTCTTACTGAAGTTCCTTTTTTGGAACCTTAGGGGCTTATCCAGCTCCCCTATAAGGTTTTCCTTTAAGAATCTTCTACAAACCCACAAACCAGTTTTTTGTATCATGGTCGAGCCTCGGATGGATTTTTTGAATCTCCCTCCTAAATATTTTTGATACCCTAGGTATGAAACCTTTTACTCTTAACCACATACCTAATAACGACCCCAAACTATGGTTCCTTTTTAATATAAACTTTGACCCACTAAGTATAATCCATATCAAATCAATATATAGCCTTCCTAACTAACCAAAACATCACCCACCTGAGAAAAGACAATGAGATCGTCAATGATCCCCAAGAGATTGCCAACCATGTGTCGCGACACAAAAAATACCCGAGCATATTGAACGCTCAAAATATAATAGAGTCATCACTGAATTTTATTTATTCCAAAAGGAATAGGAAAATATCGAGAAACCCCACAAGCAACAAAAAATGGTCATCGCAACCAAATTAGAGTTCGGGAGTCGATTAGGCAAGGGGAAGGTATTAATACCTCTCACATCCATTATACTCAATGAGACTCATTTAGTTAGTCTTTTGATCACATGTTAGTATGAAGTTTACTTGCGATCTTCTACTTATTACGCGAGGAGAAAGAAAAGAAATGCTTTCTAGGTTTTTTATTATTGTGCTTGCCGAGATTTCAAAATCTCGTGCCTACACATTCTCATGGTGCAATTAGAAAATTAGGACTTCGTAGTTCGGGAGAACTTAAATGTTTTTGGGTTTTGGTTTAGGCGATACAGAGGAGTGTCTAGACCAACACGAATGAGTGTTAGAGAAAGGGTAAAAAGGGTTCGCACTTGGGCGATAAAAAGTGTTTGAAAAAGGACTCGCACTTGGGCGAATAAGTAAAAAGACTCACACTTGGGTGAAAGATGAAGAAAACCCACACTTGAGTGAAAGGTAAAAAAAGGCTCGCACTTGGGCAAAAGATTTTTTTATTTTTTATTTTTTAAAAGATTGTCTGACAAGACGTTGAATCTCACTCCTACTTATCCTCTAGTACAATGAGCAACTCAAGACATACGTAATTAAAGCAAAGAACAATATAAGGAAAATGATAAAATTAGTATACGTCATGAGAATGGAGATATATTTTATCAAATGGGGATAATGTGATAATAAAAGTAAATAAATAGAAAAACAAGGGGGTTCACAGACCATGTGAGTGTATGCGGTAAAAATGAGTTCATTGTATGAAGGCCCAAGAGACCAAAAATAAACCGATATTAAAAATAATGAATTTAGCTCTAAATTAAGCTAATTTAAAGTGGATTCGTGTAGTAATCACTTTATAAAAAGCCGAACAAAAATTAAATTACAAAGTCGAATTCACAATAGAATAGAGAAATTCAACAACTCAATAAACTATTTATAATACTAAAAATAACTAAAAAAATAAACAGAAAATTGAAATACTAAATTTAGATCTAAGTTAAGCTAACTTAAAGTAAATTCATGTAAAAATTACTCTATAAAAATCCGAGCAAAAATATCAGAATCCAAATGATTTTCAAAAGCTAAATCAAAATTAGACTATGAAATTACTAACACAATAAAAAAAATCTAGGCAACACAAACACAACACAACACAACACATGCCTAATATGTCTACATTATTACAACAATTCACACTGTCAACAGTCCATAGTCCATGCTTGAGAATAAAAAACAAATGCAACCGACATCTACCTCTAATTACACCATAACAATTTATATGTAATAAACTCGAAAATACTTTCGGATCCGAAACTTTTACCCACAAATGAGTTGATGTCGAGTTGCGTAGTCTTGTCGAAATCAATGGCGACTCGAATATTCAGATGCTACGAACCATACATCAGAACCAAACCCATCAACACTGAATCAGAATCAGCGTTACATGAACCAACCATCTAACACTTGCTAAATCAAACACCTGCAACAAAATCAAAACAAAAACAGAAACCAAACTGCAGCCATCGAGATGAAGCCGGACGGAGGGAGTATGGTTTTTACGTTGTTAACTGTTACATGGTGGGAAGAAGAAGATATTAAAGCCGAAAAGGATAACCGTTTGTTGGTTTTCATTTTTTCTGCTTTCTATTTTTTGAATCTACTTTTTTTTCTCTTCATTTTTTATGGTGAGAGACCATTGGTCCATTGTAAAAATGGAGAGACATGATGCTCTAAGTGTAGCGGCTGCGCCCAAAACCCATTGGCTGATTCAATACTCCCTTTATATTACAAGCATAGGGTTTCATATATAACAAAGACTTAAATAGCGTCATGAATGAAATGCTTTAATTTCTAATAATATTTTAAAACACAAATTTCAACAAAAAACGAAAACTAGTTTACATAATATTCTTGTGTAGAATAAATATTCGTCTGACTTCTTATTATAGATGGAGATACTTACGGAAGTAAATTTTGATGATTAGTGGGGATTTAGGAGTTACGTCAATGAAGCATGTCTCAAGAAGAATGTCTTTCTTATCTTTCTTGCAGAAGCCTCTTTTATAGTGTTCTTTCTTTGTATCGTCAAGAGCCTCAATTAATGAGTGACTTTTGAGTTCTATAACTACATAACCTTTGTCATCCCCATAAATGGAGATGATTATAGCTGTGTAACACTGTAATGAATGTGTCTTCGGTGGTTACGAGCATTGATGACTAGGGCTGGTAGCCGGCTATGGATCAATGGTCGCGGTCACCATCCTTGTCTGAGTCCAAGGTGTATATGAGCTGCTCCTAGGAGGTATAATGATTGTACAGACCCTCTAGTGGGATTGCAGACCGAGCATATTTATTATCGAGCCACTTACTAGTCTTGTCATTTCAATGTCGATTATACTACCCAGTCGGGGCTAATATTTTCGGGATATACATAAGCCCTCTGAATTCAAATTCTTTTTACGAGGATGCAATATTCGGTCACGAAGTTACAGAAAATATTGAAGGTACCACTGGTTTGTACATCGTCCATTTACTTTTTTATATGTGGTGCAAAAATGAAGTGTCATCATTTTCTCTTTCCTAGAGTAATGATGACTTCCACCTAAAATTTTGTTCATTTGGTGATGTTTCTTACACCTAGTGCACTGTTCATTGGATTCTATTAAAACCCTGTCATCTTCTTTCCTTTTATATCTTTGGTATTTCTAGAAGGCGTTATATCTTTCAAGAGAGCATTCAATTTTCCTCAAGTATTCTCCATTTTTTCCAGGTATTTCCTTTTACTCTTTCATTTTTGTTTTGCCTTTTTAGATTATGGTTATCCTAAGGGAGTGTGACGATGGGGGAAACATTGTAAATCCCTCTAATGCCGAAGAGAGGAAAGAGTTATGGAATCAATGCATGTGATAGATTAAGGGTGCTTTTAGGTCAGGATGAGTTTAATCAAATCACAAGGGAGGTTCTTAGGAAGTCTCAAGTGGATATTCTTTCCGTTGGTGATGAGGCCTTCGAGCGGGCCAAGATCAGATACTGTGTCTTTATCTCGGATTGGCCATATCGGAGATGGACTACTTTAAGGTGTTGTAAGATGGCCTCCTTGTAGATCTCGAAGAGATGGAAAAGACACCCTCTCTTCAACCGAATCCTGAAGATCCTTCTGTCAGGGAAAATGTCAACAATGATGGTGATGGGAAAGAGGACCCGACTGCATGATGTTTCGTGTTTCTGTTAGTCATCCGATAAGGATGCATTTATGTAATTTTTTTGTAAGGAGTGGTTCACCATCCTTTTTGTTACTTTTTAAACTATTGTCTCCAAGCTTTTGTACTTCAGGTTTCCCTTCTATGGCTTTATGTAACTGTTGCTTTTCGCTTATATGTATCTCAGCTTTCCGTTTGCATTTTTTATTTTTGGTTTATGCATTTTTGGCTTTGAAGATATATATATATATATATATATATATATATATATATATATATATATATATATATATATATATATATATATATATATATATATATATATATATATATATATATATATATATACACACACACACACACACAAGCCCCTCGCACAAAAAGTCGACTGGGCTGTTTGTGTCTGATCATGTAGTGTCGAATATTATCTTTAATTTATAAGAGCCCTAGCAACTTTCCATGTCTTTTTATACCGTTAGGAGTACTTCTTCAAACACGGTCATACCTGGTCTTTGAGTCACTTGGCGATTTATATAAAATCATTCTTTGGGATTTTCTTTTAAGAGCCCAAAACTGGTATAGGGTTAAGGGTTATTTGCTCGTTTATCTCTTGGACTTAATGAGCTCTGAGTGAACTTGTTGCATTCTCGAAATCGCCTTAGTGGGCTCTATCCGGTCAACTTAAAGTTCCCTTGTTTTGGAATACTCGACCCTCATATGGGGAGTTTGAATTCATGGTACTCGACCCTTGTGTGGGGAGTGTTAATTAATTGTACTCGATCCTTAGGCAGGGAGTGTTTAACGATAGAACTTGACCCTTATGGCGGGGAGTGTTTAACGATGGAACTCAACCCTTATGGAGGGGAGTTTTTAACGATGGAACTCAACCCTTATGGAGGGGAGTGTTTAATGGCATATAGAGGCTTGGAGGCTTAATTGACTTAATGCTAGAGGTTTTAAGTTCGCTTGAACTTTTTGATGGATCATAGCCTCTTTTAAGGTTGGTCGAGTATATCCATAGCCTTAGCGAGGTTGACCGAGTTTGCGAGAGGTTTTGAGTGCGCTTTGACTTTTTTTCGGATCAGAGCCTCTTATAAGGTTGATCGAGTAGGTCCAGAGCCTTGGCGAGGTTGACCGAGTTTGCGAGATTCTTTGAGTTTGCTTCAACTTCAGTTACAAATATTTGATTTCACTTTGAGTGCCTCATTAAAAACCCTTGCTCTTGCAAGGAAAAAAAGTGCATCCCATACATTTATTATCGGTTTTGTTACATAGTTTTAGCTGAAATAAAGCCTGAGATTGGATACATTTCATGTTCTAAGTATTTCTACGCCGTACAGAGTTTCCAATTTGTAAGCCACATTATTTAGTTTATGAAGTACCAGGTATGGGCCTTCCCAGTTCAGAGACAACTTTCTCTTGTTCTTAGGATCAATAATCTTTTTGAGGACTAGATCTCCTGGTTGAAAACCTCTTTGTTTGGCTTTTAGGTTGATCCTCTTAGATAATCAGCTCTTGACCATAAACTCTTTAATCCGGACCGTTTCTTGGATCTCATCCACCATGTCGGTCAAACTATTAAAGTCGTCTGTGTTGGATTCTTCATCAAAGTGCTCCCTTATCCATGTAGGGGTGTTGATCTCAATCGATATCATGGCATATGCCCCATACACCATTTGGAAAGGTGTTTCTCAGTTGGTGGAGTGAGGGTTGTATGGTACGAACAAAGGATCTCTGGAAGGTACTCGGACCACATGCCCTTTGCGTTATCCAGTTTCTTCTTCACTCCAGTTAAGATGATTGTGTTGGCCACTTCAGCTTATCCATTGGCTTGAGGATGCTCCAGTGATGTGAATCTATTTTGAATGCCCAGGTCATCGCAAAATTTCACCATAAATGAGCTCGCAAATTGTGTTCCGTTGTTAGATACCATGACTTTTGGCAATTCGAACCTGCAAATGATATTTTTCCAATAGAAGTGATGTACTCTTTCGGCGGTGTTGCGTGCCACGGATTTTTCTTCTACCTATTTTATGAAGTAGTCGACGACCACAATCATAAATTTTAATTGCCCAGATACTGTTGGGAACAGTCCCAGTATGTCTGCTCCCCATTGGTAGAATGGCCATGGGGAAAAGATGAAGTGCAACAACTCGGCCGAGGATTGTATAAATGTTGAGTATACCTGGAGTTTGTCACACTTCCTTACGAACTCGACACAATCTTGTAACATTCGAGGCCAATAGTACCCGACCTGGAAGATCTTCTCGGATAGGGCTCTCCCTCTTATGTGGTTTTTGCATGCCCCTTCATGGACCTCCTTCATCACTAAGGTAAGCTCTATTTTTGTCACACATCTCAGCATGAGCGCGAATCTCCCCATCTTATACAGTTTGTCAGATACTATCAGATAGCGAGTGGATACCTTTTTTATACGCCTGGCCTCTTTGGTGTCTTCAAGTAAGGTCCCCTGTGTTGTACCCCAATATTTTCACTCTCACTTATCAAGAATTTACTCACAAGATCTCCTTTGGCTCAAGACTGCACTAGGGTTGATCAGCTCAAGACACCTCCTTAAGCACTGATGACCAAAATTAGGGTTTGAGTTTTCACAATGATTTTTGAACTTCCAATGCCCCATATGACTTTCATGGATCATTATGGACCCTCAAGATTACTCATGAAAAGTTTCAAGCTTTAGATCACACTTTTGTTCAGTCAATATAGCAGTTGACCTAAAAATCAACTGTATTGGGGAAAAAGTCAACTATGGTCAATTTACAGTCAAACTTCATAATTTTTGATCCACATCAACATTTTAAACTCATATGTATCATTTGATCAAGTTTGGACCATAATTCCTCAAGAAATTTGATCAAATCTTCAAAAGGGCAAAATGGTCAAAATTAGGGTTTTGATTGGGCAAGGGTAATTTCTGATTTTTGACCTAACAAATGATCAATTGAGTTAAGACATGATTTCAAGAGTCAAATTGCATCATTTTGACCGAATGACATGGCTCAAAACATTGCTCAAGTCCAATGGATTGACAGATGAATTTTCAGTCAACTAATCAAAAGTCAACTATATACTGAAAAGTCAAACTTTGACTTTTTGGTCAAAATCAAATGGAAAAGATCACAATTCATCAAATCATGTTAAAATATGAAACTTGCTCATCAAGAAATCAAAAATTCAAGATTTCATTTTGAAAAGTTAAAATTTCTAAACTTAGACATTTTTCAGTGTTGGAAATTTCTTATTCTTTCACAATTTTGAGCAAACTTTTCACCATGATGCAAGATGATTCAAAAGAAACTTCCAACATAAAAGTTGTATATCTCCATGAAATCTACAACTTTGCTTTACACAACTCCTTCCAAAAGTTCTTGGATCTCAAGTTATAATTTTAAGATTACATGGTCATGAAACAAAAACACTTAGTGAAATTTTGCCCTAATTTGGTCGGGATTTTGACCCAACTTCATGGAAATTTTTCATATAGTTCCAAGGGTAATTTTAAAAATTGATTCAAATATGGGTTGTAGAGCATATTTCAAGCTTTCCAAAATATCCAAGAACTCTTTGAGATCATTTTTGAGTAGAGATAATCGAAGAGATGAAGTTAGGGTTTTATCACTTGAATTACAAGTCATTTTGTGATGAACAAATTCAAAATTCAAAGTTATGCTGCATAATCACTACTTTGCAGGCCTCAAACTTGTTAGGCACTCCATAATTAATTGCTTGCACAACTGTTAGAGGTCTCATTTCAAGCATTTAATGCAAGGCCATGCTTTATATCCATTTTGGGAAGAAAGTGCACAATGCCATTTTGATAAAGTGACTTTTTGCACAAAACTTGTTCTTGAGCCTTGCACTTGTTCTTTTCTAATCATACATGTCTCATAACACAAGATAAATGGTTTAGACACTTACAATCACCCAACCCATGTGTAGCGGTGAAAATCGGAGATCAAGCTATTAATTAACTTGACTCACAAAAGCAAGAGTCGCCACCGCGCTTTATTATTTCCAAGGGAAAAGGGAAAAAGAGCGAAATAAAACCCTAAAATATGCAATGTAAAATAATACTTAAAAGTAATAAAAATACAATGCGTTTTTTGAAAGAGATCGAGAGTTCGGGGGTTGGTTATACAATGGGAAGGTATTAGCACCCAATGCATCTGCGGTACTCCGCAGGAACCTTTTGAAATATCTGTTTTTTGGTTAAAATTGTTTGTTTGATTAAAATGGTTTATTTGGTCAAAATGGGTATGGATGAGATTTTGAAGATGCGACGACCTAGTGTCGAAGTTTTGACTTAAAAGGTGTGAGTTTGAAAATGGAGTCTTTTGGGAGAATTATCTTAAGTTTGGAAAAATAGTAAATAAGCAAAAAATGGATGAAGGTATTCGCACGATTGTGACAAATATATTTGATGACATGAAGTCAACAAAGTTAAAAAAACGTTTCCCTTGGAATAGAAGCAAACAAATCAGAAAAAAATAAGATGAACATCACAATATAAGTAATCAAGAATTCGCAAGAAAATAAATTTAAACGAACTGATTAAGAAAAAGCAATGAAATATTTAATTCTAAAGGACTAAGACGATTAAAAAAGCAAACGAGAAGGTAACTAGTTATCTAAAGAGGATATGTAAATTACTAAATTAATTCTAAACAAAAAGTAAGATTACGAAATTTCTGAATTACACCTAAATTGCGTTAAAGCTCTAAGATTTATTAAAATTCTAAAATTACTAAATTTAATCTAAGTTGAATTAATTCTAAAGTTACTAAACCGTGTCTAATATAAACAAAGTTGGTTTCAAAGTTACTAAATTAAAATTCTTGAATTATTAAATTGAATCTAAACCAAATCAAAGTTTTAACTAAATTCCTTATAAAATTACTAATTAAAATCTAAACCATATTAACAATAAAAAGAGGTGTGTAACACAAATTTGAGGGGCTTATGAGATGAAAATCGGATGGGCTTAAAAGATTGGGATAAGGCCCAAGGCATGAGTAATAAACATAAATAAATAAAAAAAACTAAAACAAACATGCAAGATTGGAACCGGGCCGAACCGGGTCAGGCCCAGACCCGTTGCCCTGCAACACTCGAATTGGGTTGGAAAAAAGAAAAAAAGACCTAAAAGGAAAAGTGGAAAACGGCGTTGCATGATGTGTTGGAAAGGGAACAAAAAATCATCGATTCCGGTAATCTCTTATCTCCATATCTTTATCACTTTCTTCTTCAGTTATTTCGATGCAAAGAGGTCACCTTCTCTTGCCTTCTAAAGCTGCCGATCTTGGGGATATCAACGTCTCCTCCCTTTTTATTGTTGCCAGCATCCTCATCGAAATCCAACGGATTATCACCCAGTAGCTTCATCAACGTCGGAACTAATCGCACGAGCTGTAGCTTCCAACTCCGATCCTTCGCTCTCAGTATCGTGCACCATGGATTCGTTTCAACATCTCAACTCAGATTACGCAGTGATGAAAATATTCGACACAATCAATTGAGCAGGACAATCAAATTATCTAAGGAGAGCGTGGAGTATACTTACCTACCAGAGGAAAGTCTGGTGCCTTCTTCAAATTAACCAAGATGATTGCAAAATCAGAGGTAAACTCGCTTCCACTTCTTCTTCGAAATTACTTCCTCTTCAGATTTTTTTACGATTTTGTCTCAATTGATTCTTCGCGTGTGCGTTTCTGTTATTGTTTTGACGGATGCGGGTTGATAAATCGATGCCAGCAGTTTACAGTAGTGTTAAATATGATGCAGGTTGGGGTTATGGTGATGGTGATGTGCATTTTTTCTTTGATAGAAGGTGAAGGTGATGATGATGGAAGGTGCAACGTGAAGCGGAGATAGAGTACAAAGACTCAGTTTTAGTAATATTCTGTGAATGCTCGTTCTGAGTTTTTTAGAGAGGGAAAGAGAGTTTGAAGATGCAGAGAGATGAGAGTTTCCAATTTTTTGGTTGAGTTTTATGTGATTCTTCCAAATTGTTGAAGAATGAGTGAAGATTCAAGGTGAGTGATCTCCTATTTCTCTTGTGAATTTATGGTATTTTAACAGAGAGAAATTATGAGGTTGAGAGAAAGTTTTTTGTGTGATTCTTTTTCCTCTCTTTTCTTCTGGTTTACAGGTATTGTTGTTGGTGTTTCAACTTCCTTATACTTGCATTTACGTGCCAAAGTTGACATCGCCAAATCTTGCCGAGCAAGAAGGACATAAGCAGCAGCTGGCCGGTCATTGGGAGAAGAATATCTCGACTGAACCAGTAGCCCATCCAAGAACCTGATGCAGCCTATCAGTGAGATTGATGGGAGCAGTTCCACGGAAGGCATCGCGTTTGGTCACACGGTAAACAGATTTCCATTCTCTGTTGTGCATCCTATAACCAGTGACCACATCCTCAGTAACCGACCCGTAGATCCATCCAACACGCTGTCCTCATTCAGTCTTGTCCTCATACCAACATGAGATCACCCTTATGGCTTCTGCAACAGTTGATGCATCAAGAAGTTCTCGGGGTATGGTGGGAGAGAGATAGTGGGAATGGGAATTACTGTTTTCTTTTGTGTTGTGTGTTTTTTTTGTTTTACAGCAGGTGATGTTCTGAAGCTTGTTCTAAACTTGGAGGAGGGTTATTAGAAATTTCCACAGGTTTTTTACTTTGTTTTCCCCCCTTCAGAATGAAATTTTTTGGAGGGAAAATGTGTGAGTCTTGGACAAAATGTGATATGCTGGCTTTTCCTTTTTGATGCAGGATTTGCATTTCCTATTTTTGTGAAAGTTTATACTGTTTTTGGACAGGTTTTACATCACAACAGTAGCAGGTTTTTTTGCACATTTCGGGAAAGTTTTGATATTGTTTTTTTGTCTATTGTTGCAGGGAAATTTAGAGATAGACAACAACATTGGACTGTTCCGAACAACAGCATAGCAGGGATAGTTTTTGAGTGGTTTGGGCAGGTTTTAGCAAGGATTTGGCAAGTCTTCATTTGCAAGCTTTAAAGTTACAAGACTTGGAGCATGAAGATTTAGGTAAACTTGGAAACTTGGCATGAAGATTAGAAAGATGTTTAGGTTTAATCATGGACAATGGACAGGATTAGGAATTAGGAATATATGTGAACTCTTGTGTAATCTTCTTGTAATATCTTGAAATGATGAGTGGTCCTTGTAAATTTCCTAACTTATGGATGAATAACTCTTGTCATGAATGTATCTTTGATGAAATTTTGATGGCTTTAACATTGTTCAGTGATCTTAAAAAATGGAAATCTTGAACCTTTGAATGAATTTGTCTTGATCAGACAATTTAGGTAATGAATTTGAAATGGTATGAATGTCTTTATAGAGTTGTCATTTATGTGGCAAGTGAACCATGAATCTTCTAATTTGCCATTAGAAAGAATAAAATTGAATGGAATCTAAATGGACTAAGAATGAATTTGAATCATGAGCAAAACTTATATGAATCTTGAATGTACTTTTGATAAGTTTGAATGACTTGAAATGGTGAATAATGTTGAATGATCTTTGTAACTTGTTACATTTGAATTCAAAATTTCCATAATTCCAAATTGTAAGCATTATAAATTGGATGAAACTTTTGTCCCTTGTATTCGAAACTCTCTTGAAAAACATTTGCAACTTTGAATGGCATTTGAACTTGACATTTGAATTTTGAACATTGTCTTGAAAGTTAAATGGCGCGCACCTTAAAATAATGAATGTTTGAATCTTGGCATAATGACCTTAAATCAAAAGGAATTTGTATGAATTGAAAGAAAGGTAAAATGTTAAAACTTTAATGAATCGAATTTTAATGAACAAACAAATGCCTTAAGAAATTTAATCAAAGTCCAACTTCGCTCCATTAATCATTAACGCTCAAACACAAGTGACTTGAATTACGAGCAATAGATGATCAATGAATCTTCAAACTCAACAACTTATTTGATGAATTATCTTAACATAAGAATCAAACGTCCTTTGAGAAAACGTTTGTGGCATAAATTGAACCAAGCACAAATTGACCTCGACCTTTGAAGTAAACTCAAAGACAATGCTATTTGTGATACTTCACAAGAAGAATTGCCTCGGGACGTTGAGAATTGAAGAAGTTATGAACCTCGAAATCTGGACAAGAGTTTCTTGTGATTAGGTTAAATTTGCAAAAAGACCTCCAAAGTATTCGAATTTTAGATAATCCTCCACACACAATCAACTCTTGACTTGTAAAGAGGAGTGGGAGATGACATCAAGGAGAGTCATATGCAAAAAGAACCACTCAAAAACATGGAATAATGAAGAAGTTATGATCGTTTGAACTTGATCTTGCAAAAAGTTGAATTTTGGTCGAAGTGCTCTAAATCATCTCACATAGCCTGATCTTTTCTTGCATTCCAAGACACATTGAAGCACACGTGAACTAGTGATGAGGGAATCTTGAATGTGCTCTGAGGAAGTTGTGGAGAAGTTTGAGAGGTTAAAACTGGCCATATTTTGTACCCTTAGTTTCTTTGAATAAAAGTGCAAATGAAGATGGGACCTTAGGTCAAAAATTGGGGTACAACACCATGCTTGTACTACACATTGAAACTTGGTTTCCCACTTTTCTTGAAAATCAAGTAACATAGCAAATAGCTTGTAACTTGTACTTCTGACTTTCCAATACTCTCAAACCTCTTTGCTTATACATACACAAGCCATTTGACACAAAACACACACATGTTTGACCCCTAAAAACACCAAGAGCTAAGAACTGCATCACATACCTCCATTGTTGCCTAACCTGACCAAAAGTTTGAAACTCACACCTCCCTCGTGCGTTTTCAAACCTTTTGGTTCCTAAAGTTTCTAAACATCACTTAGAACTCATCCCACACCCTGTTACAAGACTGTAACACCATTAACACCATCCTCCATTTTCAAAAACAGATCTTTGCACTTGGATTTCTCCAGAACTCCTCAGGCATTTTCAGCTCAAGCTAAGCATCCCATTAGCTTCCTGGGAACTTGAGGAAGCTAACCCAATCATTGTAACTCACTGAAAGCTGCTCAAACTCCAAACCCGATACCCTCTTGCAAGTTAAGTTTTCTAACTCTGGAACTTTTCATACATGCATCATCAATGATTTATTTTTGAATGAAAAATGTAGATATCATTGCCCTAAAGCTAATTATGTCCATGGTTTTCATTAATTTTGCTTGAGCTTAGAGAAATTTAAGATTTGGTTTCTGAGGTTTTTAGGGTTTAGATTAGGGCCATTAAAATTCATGCTTATCTTTGATCTATAATTTTATTGCTTTGCATTTCTGAAATCGTGAGGAAATTTGCTACAAGTTTCTTGTTTACAGTTTTCATTTTTGTTAAAATTTGAATAAGTTACAGAGGTTCTGGCTGGGCGTGAGGTTGAAGATGAAGTTGGCCTCAGGAACATGTTTGCCATATATATTTATGGTTTGATTTATATAAACGGATGTATAGCCACCCCAGTGATAAAAGCGCGTGCCTGTGACTTGAGGGACCTGGGTTCGAGCCCCAGTGGTACCCTTTTGGATTTTTCATATTTGTTTTGCGTTCTGACTTTCTTTTTGGCAGGTGTTGGCTGAAGATTTTGATATTATGATTCGAAATAAGACGATTGGGTTTTGTTTGAATAAAGCAAGTTTGATGATTTGGAATGAAAGAGACTGTTCGTTTCGAATGGAAATATTAAAGTTCAAGGTTTCGAATGATAGTTGTGGAGTGTAAGTCTAAAGCCTTGTTCGAAATAATGATGAGACTATATTTGTGAGGGTTGTTTTCGAAGAGAATTCGAAATGAAGGTACCAAGGCGCTTGAAATTCAAACGTGAGCGGGATATTGGAAATTCAAAACACATAAGCATTGGAACGTTTGAGGACGCGTGGAGGCTAGAGGGAAGTAATGCTCTGCATGCTTCGAACGTGGCAGATTCTGATAACAAGACCGTTATGGTCGAAGTAGTATAAATAGAGGTCTTAGTTTTAGGATTTCAGTGGTGTCATATCTGTTGTACAAATTCAGTAAACATTCAAAATACCGCATGGATAGGGAAACGAATGCTCGAAAGATGTATGTATGATAACACCAACATTTACAATTCAATGAAAACTCTTTACATTTTCCAGTTTTGTCTTTCACTTCCATTTCATTTGTGCTTCAAACAATTTTACGTTTATGCCTTTACATTAAAGCCTTTACATTCGAAGTCATTTATTTCTTTCTGTATTTAAACACTTTTCTTATGTTCGAATCCTCTAAACATTCAGTAACTTTTACATTCTCTTACTTAATCCTGCCATTTTCCCCATTTTAAGTATTTTTACTTTTCTAAAGAACATTCCTGATATCATATAGAAATTGTCCTTCGAATCATTCAGTATAGAAATCGAAGTGGATTGGATATCTTCGAAACACTTTAATTAGATGTCCTAAATAGGAATACCAGTTTTACAATTAGACTTAACCAAACAACTATGTTCCATAGGATCAATCTAGTCGATCCTGCAAGTTACCATAGAAATTGAGTAACAGTAATTAAGTTTATTCGATAGTTTGGAAGACTAGCGGTTGTTCACCAGAAATCACTGTGAACAAATTGGCACACCCGGTGGGACCCGTTGTTAAGAAAGTCGAAAGTAAAGATTTTAGGATACGATTTCGCTGTGTAAGTTCTTTTCTGAGTATCAATTTCGCTGTTATATGAACCTCAGAAGTGGTAAAACAACCAATAGTAACCAACCCTTACCCAGAAGGAAACGTAGTAGTAGGATGTCTAATCCAAACAATCAACAAGGGGAACAAAATATCCCACATGGAACAAGCACCAATACGTATGTTTCGACAGGGACGTCTAACGCGATCCCTACGAACGCACAGTCTGTTGCATCTTCTACCAGTAGTGTGGCCACAAATGGAGCAAGTGGCACGACAACCAACAGTTCGACCCTAGGAAATACAGGGACCACTGGTTATCTTCCAGGATTTGTCCCACCACCAGGGACACAAACCCATTTCGCCACCCCACCACCAACTAGACCACCCGGTTTCGATGGCACTAGACTCAGAAATCCCTCCTATGGGATGCCAACATCTTTTATGGCGGGTTTGCACAATTCTACATCAAATTCGTCACCACAATTTGGGTCCGGATCTGGGGCCAACCAATTTATGACAAATACCCAAGGTTCAGTGGGTCATAATACATTGCCTATCTTAACCACAAAAAATCAGATGGCCTTTAGGCAATTAATGGATGATAGTAACCATAATATGATAGGAGTGTTAGCGCAGACTATACAAGAAATCTTT